ACACTATTAGACAAATTTTCATCACTCACCGATCAGCCGATTCCCAGTGGAGGAGCCCCATGGGTCGCCAGCGCGACTCTTGTGGCCGCTGCAGCGGTTTTGCCGGCTTCTCGGCGCAGCAGCTTTTCATGCAGAGCCAACGGGACTGCTTCCCCTACTGACTGGAGTTTGGAGCTCCAGGAAGTCAGAGCTGCTTGTTGTGGACTCGGGAGGGAAGCCAGACCAGAGATTCCCGGGCAGAAGAGCATCATCAGTCTTATCGCTGCTATTTAGGCTGCCACAGTGGGTTGCTCGGATCCCAGCACTGGGAATCAATAAGTTGGACGTTGACTCAGAAACCTAATTAGAAAGGCGGGTCATCTACAATGAAGGGGAAAAAACAGCCTAAGAAGGCCGAGTATACTCAAAATCAGAACCCATCAGCAACGGAACAAGCCCTGATGGAAAAGGACTCATCAGTAACGGAACAAGCCCTGATGGAAAAGGACTGTGTTCCATTATCTGAAGCAGGCTTTAAAAGGTGGATGATAAGAAACTTCTGGGAGTTAAAGGAACTTGTTCTAACCCAATGTAAAGAAACTAAGAACTTGGAAAAAAGGTTCGATGAAATGTTGAAAAGAATAGACAATATAGAGAGGAATACAAATGAACTTATGGAGTTGAAAAATACAACACGAGAACTTAGTGAAATATGTACAAGCTTAAACAGCCGAATGGATCAAGCAGAAGAAAGGGTATCAGAGGTCGAAGACCAACTTAATGAAACAAAATGACAAGACAAGAATAGAGAAAAAAGGATAAAAAGGAATGAGCAAAGTCTCCAAGCAATATGGGACTATGTGAAAAGACTTAATATACGCTTGATAGGTGTACCTGAATGTGACGAAGAGAATGAATTCAAGCTGGAAAATACTCTCCAGGACATTATTCAGGAAAATTTTCCTAATTTAGCAAAACAGGACATTATTCAACCCCAGGCAATACAGAGAACACCACAAAGATATTCCTCAACAAGACCAACCCCAAGGCACATAATCGTTAGATTCACCAAGATCGAAACGAAGGAGAAAATATTAAGGGCAGCCAGAGAGAAAGATCAAGAACTAAAGGTAAGCCTATTAGGCTTACAGCAGATCTCTCAACGGAAACCCTACAAGCTAGAAGAGAGTGGGGGCCAATATTCAATATACTTAATCAACAGAACTTTCAGCCCAGAATTTCATATCCTGCCAATTTAGTCTTTATATTTGAAGGAAAAATAAAATCTTTTAGGAACAAGCAAGTACTCAGAGATTTTATTACCACCAGGCCTGCTTTACAAGAACTTCTAAAAGAAGCATTATACACAGAAAGGAACAACCAGTACGACCCTTTCTAAAAATAGACCAAAAAGTAAAGAGCATTAACATAAAGAAGAATTTTTATCAACGAAAGGACAAAATAGCCAGTTAATATCAAATGGCAGCAACCCTAAAGTTAAATCGTCCAAATCTCCCAATCAAAAGATACAGATAAAATCTAACGGTATATCCAAAGATATACATAGACTCAAAATAAAGGGTTGGAAAAAAAAAACGTACCAACCAAACGGAGAGCAAAAATAAATAAATAAAAAGCAGGAGTTGCAATTTTCACATTTGACAAAATAGATTTCAAAGCTACAAGGATACAAGGGTAAAAGGATTAATGTAATAATAAGAGATCTTAACACCCAGATACATAAGACCCATAATGAGATTTAGATTCAACGAGACAGAAAATTGATAACGATATCCGGGACTGGAACTAAGATCCAGAACAAATAAACTCCATAGAGCTCTCCATTTTAAACACACAAAATATACATTATCCACAAAATCTAATGATATATCTAAAGATATACAAAGACTCAAAACAAGGGGATGGAAAAAAACTCAACAACCAAATGGAGAGCAAAAATAAATAAATAAAAAGCAGGAGTAGCAATTCTCACACTTAATAAAATAGATTTCAAAGCTACAAGGATGCAAGGGTAAAAGGATTAATGTAATAATAAGAGATCTTAACACCCAGATACATAAGACACATAATGAGATTTAGATTCAACGAGACAAAAAATTGATAACGATATCCAGGACTTGAACTCAGAGCCAGAACAAAGAAACACAATAGAGGTCTCCATTTTAAACACATAAAATATGCATTAACCACTTTAAACACTCAAAATATTGATCGGTCATTATTGAAACCCATTTTAGGAATGAAGTAATATTCCTTTTTCTCTCTTTTTCTTTTTTTCCCCTTCTTTTTCTCTTTTTCCCTCAAAAAAAATTAATATACTATCTTTCCATTTCTGAAAAAAGAAAAGTATTCCTACTGATCAAGATCTCATTTCCTAAAAAGACTGAGCAATTATGCCTTAAGGCACAGATTCTTGTACTGACACATTCTTAGTTGTCTGGAAACATTTTACTCTATTTTTGACGTAATGCATTTTAACTGTCTGTTGGCACAGACTTATGTGACCCAAATAACAGGACTTACAGTGGTCCTGTCAAAGCTTCATCTTAGTAATTTCAACTGGGAAAATTTTATTTTATTTTCCAAAATTTTTAAAGGAAACATTTCTTGAAACAAAAAAAGACCCTAATTCTTATATTCAGTGTTGATCTATGAAATAAGCTTAAGGGGATTTCATTTGCACATCTCACAAAGGGGCTGCCACAGGTATTAGCTCATTAGCCCTCCATTGTTTCCCTTTCCCCTGGAGATGACTATTTCAAAATGAGTTTAAACTGATCATTTTCTCCTTTAACTCATCCCAAGTCTAACGCTAATCATAACTAGAATCATTGGACTGCAAAATTAGCATGAATATAGATGAAGGGAGTCAATATTTACTGAACATCTCCCATGTTTCAGGCACTAGCCTAGGTACTTTATATGCATTATAAATGAAGTCATTTTCAAACAATCCAAAGAAGTAGGTACTATTTTTCTAATTTTCTAACATTAATAATGAGGAGCCGGAGGCTTGAAAAGCAGGGTCTTATAGTTAGTAAGTTGTGGTCCCAATACTAAATACTAAAATATGTTCCTTTCACTTCAAATCCCATGCTTCATGCTTTACATAGCTTTCCACAAAGGTCAACATGGAGTAAAAGACCCTCCAATTTCACAGGTAATCTCTTGAGGGCTGACTAATTTATGCAAGCTGCTCATGGCTTCTTTGGGGAGAGCTTTGTCCTCTATGAATAAATGAAACTTAATTTTCTTGCCTGAGCAGATAGAAAAGTTATAATTCAACTTGTAAGGACTGTCAGAGAACCAAAAGCATTTCTGTCTCCCACATGCATGCATGTGCATACACACACACACACACACACACACACACACATGCATGCACACACACACATCACATCAGATGACCCCACAAAGCAATTACATTATAATGGATTTGAGTGAATAAACTATCACTCCTAAGAGCCATAAATAAAGGCAGAAAGCAGATTTTGACAATGACCCCAAAAATTTGTCTTACTATTATTATTTTTCTGCTTAAAAACAGGTGTGTAGGTTAGACTTGCATTTTGTGTTTGGATTTAAATCATGTAAAATTTTAACAAAGTCAACTTTCAAGTTGCTACATCAATTTCAGTGAGCTGGAGAAGACAAAAAACATAAAAGGAATGAGTGCTGTTTATAAATATTGGCAAATTAATATATACTAATGATATTTTTTCAAGACTTTGATCTGACATTGTGATAACCTATTCTTTGTTAAATGAATTTGGGAACATGTTCATATTACTTATTAATATAAATAATTCTTTTTATAGCCTGGATGGTTTTTTTTATTGCATTTAAGGTTTTGGGGTACATGTGCAGAACATGTAAGATAGTTGCATAGGTACACACATGGCAGTGTGTTCTGCTGCCTTCCTCCCCTCACCCACATTTGACATTTCTCCCCAGACTATCCCTCCCCAGCGCCCCCCGCCCCGCTATCCCTCCCCTATTCCCCCCAATAGACCCCAGTGCTACTCCCAGTCCCTGGAAAGGCAAACGAAGACATTATTATTAAACGAACACTTTAAAAATTCCAATATCCATCCTAATGCCCTCTCCTTCTTTTGCATGAAAACTATTGTATTTCTGGAAGTGTACAGAGGTTCAATAAAATACAATTTTCTGGCCCTACTTATCCTTTTAAATAATAATTCTTCAGAGATGGAGGTTTGAGAATGAGAAACTAAGATTAGTACTTATATTTTGGTTTTTTTTTGGTAGAAGCATAAGAAATACATAAATGATTTTTAACCCTTCTCTCCTTTAAGAAAGTGATAAATTCAAAGTGTTCATCTAAAATGTCACCTAAGAAAATGCGCATTGAGTTCACCTTGCTTGTGGATGAAGAAAAACATATGAACATCAGTAACCTACACACACAAAATGCACAGATGCAAACGCAAGATTGAAGTCAACTGAAAACTTATTGTAAAGTCAAAAAATGAAGGAGAATATATTTTAATGAATGTTTTTTTAATCAGATATAGTTTATATATGTAAGAACTATAGATGTTTAACTGGTCAATTTAATAAGAATAATATTCAATGACAGACTATTTTTTACTATTCTCTTAACATTTTATCATTTTTAAACATTGTACTATTAATGTGTCTGCATCTGATAATCTAACCTCAGGTTTTCAAAGATAAGAATATTTATTTATTCAAAAGCAAAATTAACTTTGGAGATAAATAACAATATAAAGACCTCACAGTCAATTTAATCTATACAAAAAGATAGCAATTTGTAAGATATTACTATGACTTTGACCACCAATATATGTTACATTTATGTCCTGCTTTCAATCTTCAATCAGTCTTTTCCATCTGTCAAAATTTTATGGCTACTGAAAGATAAAGGCTCTGTTGCTATGGTAATTATTCCATTACCTAGGTGACAGTGTTCAAACGATGTCATCACTAAAGTGATCTAAGTCAGGAAGCATTTTTAGTTTTTCTTATGGATAGGCAGAGAGAAAACTTATTAGTGATACAAATTCAAGAAGGCTAGAAGAATATCACTTGTCTTAATACACGGAGTACTCACAAATAAGAATTAGAAGGTAAATTCTAATTTACCTTCATCAGCATTTCACAAAACTGAAAGAAGAGAAAGACTGCATGTGCAGGTAAAAATTAAAAGATAGTAAGGTGTTCTACTGAAGAATAGTAGAAAAGACATCCTATTTTTAAAATATTTCCCCTATTGCTTCGATTGAATCTCATGTGTGTAGTTATCAAAAAAAACATGCACTTTTATTTTTGTATCATGATCTAATTCTTAAACAGAGAGCTGTATACAAAGAGATACGGAGAAGGACACAGAGGAGAAAAGGGAAATAGAAAATCAGGTGGAGAAAACAGCAGAAAAGATCAGAAACAGGGTTACAGGTCACCGTTCAGAATATGATAAAAGGGAAATCAGAAAGCAAAAAGGAGGCAGCAAGAAGGGTGAATCAGAGTTTCAAAAGTTTGTCAAACTTCAATAGGACTTGTTAGGAGGTGAATGTCCTGTGACCAGAACTGATTCTGTCTCATGCAAAGGACTTTTAGATGTTGTCAGACATACAGCATGACACTTTCCAAGCTTACCAAACAGGTAAGGTTGTACAAATTGTTCCCAAGAGACAGAACAACTGATCAGCTACTTTGGGAAATGTCTTTTGAGCTCAGAGGATTCTATAGCCAACCATGCTCTAATGAATGCGGATGAATTACTGCCCACCAAAGGAAAGACATACCAACATTTCCTTTATGAAGAGGGTAAAGCATTTCTTCAGAGATCCTCTCTTTTCTTGTGTTTTGGTGTTCTTGTCGACATATTGGCTTACCTTGTTCTCTGATACAATAAGGGTTGAATTATGAAGCTTGAAGAGAATAGAGAAATCCTAGCTGTATATTTTATAGGTAAGGGAAAAGGTCCAGAGAGGTTCCTTGCCTTGTGGAATGATGACTATAGTTAATAACACTGTGTTGTGTACCTGAAATTTGCTAAGAAAGTAGATCAAGTGTTCGTAGCACAAAAAAGGGAACTATGTGAGATGATGTTAATTAACTTGACTGTGGTAATTATTTCAAAATGTAGATTTATATCAAATTATTATGCATACATCTTAAATATATACAATTATAATTTGTTAATTGTACCTCAATAAACACAGAAAAAACTCCAAGTTGCAAGACAAGTGTATACCATTTAGTCATCTAATACCTATTCAAGGCTTGAATCCCTGCTAACACCTGCTAGCCTCTCAGTCTGACACTGCAGAGCACAGGAATTCATTACGGCAGGAGGGAGCACATTCCATTTTGGCCAAGTTGACACAATACATTGAGGATAATGCAGTTATATAAACTAATGAGAAAAACAAATCTATGAGGACTTAATGTGTTGGTCTCTCATGATAGTTAAATTTTGTAACACAAACATGGAAAGAGCAAAGTTTTCCCCAAAAGCTCAAATGGCAGAACTCCAGCCACTTAGGTGGTGGTGGCAGAATAGGGGAAGAGGAATCTCTCCTAGAAACCACACAAATCACACTGCGAGAGGGTCGGGGGGGGGGTCACTGCTCTCTTTATTTACGTCTATAGCTTGTATGGCTTAATTGGGGAGGGTGTGCTTACACACTGTGCACACATTTATTTTCTGGAAACAGTATGAATCAGGCAGAATAGGAATGGATGATAGCCAAAAGTTCAACCAGAGAAACAACAGCTGCTAGGGCATCACCTCACTTTGTGAAAACTGGTAATGGACCCATTAATTGTGGTGTTTTAGGCAACTCCCCGAGCTAATGTGAAAGCCATTCCCTGATTAATAATTAGCCTTTATTCAATTAACAGCTTCATGCATCTTGTTCTTGGTATGTGTTATACGACTTGACATTGCACTTAGGACACAGTTTTCACAAGAAAATGTGGCATGGCAACAATATTACTTTACAAATGCCCATTGGTTTCTAATTCTAACAGATTTTGCTCTTTTCCCAAGGGATGTCGGAGGACATAGCAAAAGCTAGAATCTGAATGTCTAAAGCTCAAAGTAATGTGTCAGATTGAACCACCAACATCATAAATCAAGCTCATTAACAGCATCTGATAAAGCTTATCTGCCTCACATCACCAGGGAGGCACTAGCTAGCGGGGCCTTTGTAGACAGAATTTCAGCAGATACCATCATTAGAACTCAGTAAAATAGCCATTCATGGAACAGCTTGCAGCAGTTGCTTCTGTATCATAATTACAGAAACGATTACAGTAGCAAATATTAAAAATGGCACAGTTATGCATAATTTCTACAACATCTAATTTACCAGCAGTAAAAACAGTAATATAAGCATTGCCCAGTGATGGAACAAAGCAATTTTCAGTCAAGATGTCTAAAAATAACATCAATTTTCTTACAGCTGGATTCATTGTTAACATGGTTTGCCTAGTCTCCTGCTTGAGAGACCTTAATCAAGATGTAGGTGACAACTGTGTTAGCTAACATGTGATTCTAATGGACTTTTAAGACAAAATAATATGACTTCTGGATTCCCTGAAAAGCTACAGCTTTGTTAAAGGCCACCACAGAAGGTAATAAAGTCTCATAAGAAAGGCACCACTTGTTTCAGCCAGGGAACAAAATTACTTATTTAAATTCAACATGATCTACTTCCTTGGAGCCCCCATTTCCCACCCTGGCACTTTATGCTCCTATCCAATCACCTGTCTCCACCCGATATTCTACTACTTTGGATCTGTACCAATGCTATTCTATTATAGTTTAAGCTCTTGGATGGAAGGGACTATAACTGATTCATGTTCCTAATCTCTCCCTCCCCAGAGAAGCCAGCACCATCCTAAGCACAAAGTAAATGGTATACATGTTTGTCAAATTAAACCTGAGCTGTGAGGCTATAGAACGTAAATTAAACATTACTCAGAAATGTTAGAATAAACATAACATACAATGTCTGTACCAAGATGAGATTGAATTTGTTCACTGAAAGCAACAGTTCTCAATCCTGGCTGTCATTGTATCATCTGTAAGGCTTTAAGACAACTAAGGTGCCAGCCTACACCATTTCAGTCAGAATTTCTGAGACTGAGGGCTGGACATATGGATTTTTAAAGCTTCCCTAAAAGAACCAGGGTTGAGAATCACTTACTTAAAGGGTATGAGTAAACATACACTGGGAGTGTAAGTATGGAAAAGAACTGCTTTACTAGGAGTGAAGAAATAGCTTCCTTTGTTCTGTGTCTTTGGGAAGGTGCTAATTCTCTGGGTTTCATTTGGTCCCACTATGAATTTAAGGGAGCTCATTATATATGCTGTAATTCATAATTATTTTTCAGAACAAAATTACATGAGTATATTGCAACAACACCACCAGAAACACCAGTCTAGTGACTATTGGCTTAATGAGTCACAGTTCTCAGCTGTGGGAACCAGGAATTCATCTTTCTAAAAAACTCCCCAAGTCAAAAATTGCTCTTTGGATAAAAATGACAAGAAAGGATTACTTTTGCAGTCTAATCTAGGAAAACAAATAAACAACGGGAAAACAAAGTATTTCTTAAAAGCAGTATAGTCCAGATCTTGATCACTAAATACCATTCTCCAACAAGTTTCTCCTTGAGGAATCTCCTTGGAGAAATGCTAATTCTAAGATTGAGAAGAGTATTATATAGGATAAACTTGGAGCAACTCATATGGCCAGAAAATAAGAAAATGTTCAAAAACGTAACTTAAGTGTACATGCCAAAGGGAATAGGAGCCAATATGAAAGAATTTCCAGTGGCCAAACATGGATCAGTTTGAGCAACATAATAAACAGCAAAGTATTGAATGACAACCACAAGTATAAAATAAATATTTTCTATAGATTGAATCTTGATGTCCTTGTTCAAATTCCTGCAGTAAAACCTACTACTCAATGTCATGGTATTATCAGAAGTGGGGTCTTTGGGAGGTGATTAGGTGATGAGAGTATAGCCCTCATATATCACATTAGTGACCTTCTTAAACAGACTACAGAGAATGCCCTCATCCCCTTTCAGCATGTGAGGACACAACAAAAATGCAGCCGTCTACAAAGAAGGACATGGGCTTTCACCAGACAGCAAATCTGCAAGTGCTCTGACCTTGGACTTCCCCGCCTCCAAAACTGTGAGAAACAAATGTTGGTTGTTTATAAACCATCTAGTTTATGGTGTTTTGTTTTATCATTCCAAACAGAGAAGACAATATCCATGGGTTCATATTAATATAAATAAGTAACTAAAAACTTGGGCAAAGGGACAAATTTCCCTTAGAGAATTTCAAATAAATTATGTAGATACCTCTTACTCTAAGAGGTGTAGTATCACTTCTATCATATTGGGTGTCGGCTGCATTTGGTAACTCCTTCTAAAGAAAGAGCATGGAAAGAAAAATAATCTCTTTGCAGTGATTATTTGAACCTGAACCAAACAATTATAGTTAATATCACCAGTGATGCATGCTGCCATCACATATCCCCTGATAGGATAAGATGGGATAGGCATGTCACCTCTGAGGTATTCCTATTCCAAAACCATAACTCATCTGATCATAACAGAAACATCAAACAAACCCACACTGAGGAACATTCTAGAAAACAACAATCATGCCTCAATATGGCCTACATCAAGAAAAATAGGAAAGACTGAGACACTGTCACAGAGTGAGGACACATGATGATTACATGAAGTGTAATACTCTGAATTGTAGCTGAAAATAGAAAAGGGCATTTGTGGAAACACTGGTGAAATCTGAACAAATTCTGTAGTTTAAATTATAGTAATGCACCAATGTTAATTTCTCAATTTCACAAATGTATCATAGTTAATGTAAGATATTAACATTATATACTATTTTTGTAAATTTAATCTAAATCTAAAAATATTCAAAAGTATAAATTTTCAAAAAATTGTATTCAAAGAAATTAATTTAGGCATGAAAATATGGTCATTATAGAAATTTCTTACCTTTAGATCAAAGATATTTAAAATGTTTTGAGATACAAAATCTTTCCTATTGGTAACTTGTTAACTTGGCCAATAAATAAATATTTTGCATATGTTTATATATTTATTCATATTTAATATATTAAATATTCAACTTTTAAAAAATAATTTACACTTTTCATTAAACCAGTATGGACCTAAAAGACTGCAAAGTGTACATTGTACTTGATGTCACAACCGACCATCTCCTGCACCACTTCTTAGGACCATTTAGCAGAGAGGCACACTTTCTCATTTAAAAAATAAACCTAGGTCAGACACATCTAATTGAGGGCCTGGAGGAGTGTTGACTCTGAAGGAACCCACCGCATGGCTGCAATGTGTTATAAATGCTTCATAATTGGTTCATACAATGTTTTTTTATTGAGGCTTATATTCTATCTCAGAAAAGAACTATACCCATGCTTCCTGGTTTATGTTTAGTACCCATATTTTTATATTTTATTTTATTTTTTAGAGACAAGGTCTCACTTTGTCACACAGGCTAAATAAAGCACAGTTGTGCGATCATAGCTCACTGCAGCCTTGAACTCCTACTAGGCTCAAGTGATCCTTCTGCCTCAATCCCTGGAATAGCTGGGAGTCCACGCACATGCCACCATGCCAAGCTAATTTTTAAATTTTTTTGTAAAGATGGGGCCTCACTACATTGTTCAGGCTAATGTAGAATTCCCGGCTTCCAGCAATGCTACCACTTCAGCTTCTCAAAATACAGAGATTACAGATGTGGGCCATTGCACTCTAATTTATCCTTCTGCTATGTTATTTTACAAAGTTAAAGTTTCTCCAAATGAAAAGGAAATCTCCTTAGCTAAAATTTCAAATTAGAAATTTCTTTGCAATTTTGGCTTGTTTCACAAACTAATATTTTCAAAAAGCAACCTACTCACCGTTACTTGCATCCAATATCAAGCCTTATAACTGGTCTCTCTTGTCCTCTTATGTTGAGCTCATTCCTACTTTCAGTATATTCATTTTGCGCTACCAGTGGTCACTCTGAGTTCAAATGTGAGTTTGTCGCTTCCTTTGGTACAACCCTTTCTCATGGCTATGTACAGTTTACTAAGTCCAAGGTTCTCAGCTTGTCCCACTAAGTTCTCCCTTGCATGACTCCTATTAATTCTCTAGAAACTGTGCAAAAGGAAGTAGCAGCCATTCCCATCTTAATACCTTATGCTCTAATATTTCTAAATCACTTATGCCTAAACACACATGTCTGTATGCGCCAGTGCCTTCCCTCTTGCAGTTCCTTTTGTTTTCTTCCCTTCTTTAACTGGTATGTCTATAATTATATTTCAGTATTAATTTGAGGGGTCCCTAACAATACTCCTCCAACCATCCTCCTTCTGTTATAAACAAGCATTGCCTCACCTTTCTGATTCCATATTACCCTTAGGAATACCATTATTGCAATATTCATCATGCTGGCTTTTAGTCTTCATTATACAAGTATCTTTCCTTCCACTAGACAGTAAGCTGCTATCTTATTCATCTTTGTATCCTGAGGGAAGAGTACAGGATCTTGTATACAGAAGGGATTCAAAACTTTACCAAACTATTCAAAATAGAAATTCCAGCTCATTTAAACTAAAATAAACATTTTATTCCTCAAGGGGTTCTCTAATTATCTAGAGTCACAACATATTTTTAGGGCTAGATTTAAACATTACTCCCCTTCGTACATACTTTAAAGTCAATAATGTTACAAATCTGCATCCCCTGTCAATTTTTTTCTGCTAAGCATCAATCTTGTATCTTTTTATTTCTACTTGAATTTCCAATAGATACCTTAAATATAATCTGTTTTTCAAGAATTCTTCCACTCTGCTTGCTTAAATGAGATCTTCATTCCTTTATGTTCTGGGTGTTATGCCAGAGCTAAGCATATAATCCTGAGTAAAATCAATCCCTGACCTCAGGGAGTTTGTAGTCTCATAAAATATTACATAGAGGGAGCCATGTTTTGTGTGGCAGAACTAAGTACCACATGCTGCTGGAGAACAGGGAAGAGCTCTTAAGTCATGGAAGGCTTTCCAGTGAAGATGACACTGGAGCTGGGATTTGAAGGATGGTTGAAAACTTCCTAGCTGAAGAAGCAGAAAAAGGGCATCACAGGTAGAGAGAGAACCAAATGAGAAGGAAAAGTATATGAAAGTAACGCTGGCAGGAGGCAGTTCAATTGGTATGAAGATCTTATAACAGGTGATGTGTCTGGGATGAATGGCACATGTGTGAATGTATATGGACATTAGGTGAGAGATAAACCTTGAAGGCCCTTGTGATTAATTAGGCATAGTGTTCCATTATTGGAACACTAAGCTTGTGGGAGTTATTTATATCCTACTGCTCAAGGTCATTGCCAAGGCCTAATTTTTCACACAGAAAATATTGCAGCTTCTGATATCAATGGGTTGAGTTTAGAAATTCAAATTTTTGTCTGGCAGTAATCAGGAAGGTATCAAAGAATTTTAATCATATTTATATATTAGAAAAGTCTCTGTAGCCAAGTGGTCTAGATCATCAGATACCACCCCCATGTAGCCAAACACGCTAAGATTCACTGGCTTGAAATTTTTGCTGCCAGCACAGCAGTCTGAAGTTGACCTGGGATGCTCCAGCTTGACTGGGGGAGGGCTGTGTGTCATTACTGAGGGTTGAGTAGGTGGTTTTCCCTTCACAGTGTAAACAGAGACACCAGGAAGTTCAAACTGGGTGAAGCCCATTGCAATTCTGCAAAGCCACCGCAGCCATGCTACCTCTCTAGATTCATCCTCTCCGGCACAGCATCTCTGAAAGAAAGGCAGCAGCCCCAGTCAGGGGCTTATAGATAAAATTCTTATCTCCCTGGAACAGAGTACCTAAGGGAAGGAGTAGCTGTGGACACAGTTTTGGCAGACTTTAAACATTTCTGCCTGCTGGCTCTGAAGAGAGCAGTGGATTGAGCTCTGCTAAAGGACAGACTGTCTGCTCAAGTAGGTCCCTGATCCCAGTTACTTCTGACAGGGCGGTACCTCCCAGCAGGAGTTGATAGGCACCTCATAAAAGAGAGCTCCGGCTGGCATCTGGCAGGTGCCCCTCTGGGACAAAGCTTTCAGAGGAAGGACAAGGTAGCAATCCTTGCTGTTCTGCAGCCCTGGCAGGTGATACCCAGGCAAACAGGGTCTGGAATGAACCTCTAGCAAACCCCAGCAGACCTGCAGCAAAGGGGCCTGACTGCTAGGAGGAAAACTAACGGACAGAAAGGAATAACATTGACATCAACATAAAGGACAGCCACACAAAAACCCCATCCAAAGGTCACCAGCATCAAAGATCAAAGGTAGATAAATCCAGCAAAATGAGGAAAAAGCAGCACCAAAGGCTGAAAATTCCAAAAACCAGAATGCTGCTTCTCCTCCAAAGGTCCACAACTTCTTGCCAACAAGGGAACAAAACTGGACGGAGAATGAGTTTGATAACGGACAGAAGTATGCTACATAAGGTGGGTAATAACAAACTCCTCTGAGCTAAAGGAGCATGTTTGAACCCATGCAAGGAAGCTAAAAACCTTGAAAAAAGATTACAGGAATTGCTAACTAGAATAGCCAGTTTAGAGAAGAATATAAATTATCTGATGGAGCTGAAAAACACAGCACAAGAACTTTGTGAACAATACACAAGTATCAATAGCTCAATCGAACAAGCAGAAGAAAAGATATCAGAGATTGAAGATGAACTTAATGAAATAAAGCATTAAGATGAGATTAGAGAAAAAAAGAATAAAAAGGAATGAACAAAGCCTTCAAGAAATATGGGACTATGTGAAAACACCAAACCTATATTTGATTGGTGTCCTGGAAAGTGACATGGAAAATGGAACCAAGTTGGAAAACACTCTTCAGGATATTATCCAGGAGAACTTCCCCAACCTAGCAAGACAGGCCAATACTGAAGTCCAGGAAATACAGAGAACACCACAGACATACTCCTGGAGAATAGCTACCCCAAGACACATAATCATCAGATTCACCAAGGTTGAAATGAAGGAAAAAAATGCTAAGAGCAGCCAGAGAGAAAGGTTGGGTTACCCACAAAGGGAAGCCCATCAGACTCACAGCAAATCTCTCTGTAGAAACCCTATAAGCCTGAAGAGAATGGGTACCAATACTGAATACTTTTAACGAAAAGTATTTTCAGCCCAGAATTTCATATCCAGCCAAACT